ATCAGCAGTAGCAGTAGCTTCCGGTAGGGGACGACAGAAGGCGCAGGGCAGCAGCAGGCTCTGGCGACGGCGACGGCAGAGCCGGCGGTTCCATGGCCTTCTTGGTCGCCTCCGGATGCTACTGCTACTGCTACTACTATGGCTGCCATCAACTACCTGCACGGCGCAAGTGTTTTAAGCCGCCCTGTCTGGCCCTCATCAACTTGCTGCTTATATCTATCCGACACAACAAACAAAGCGCAAACGCAAACGCCGACGATGTCTTTGCGGGCACCGTCCGACATCCGCCATCCTCACTGTTCCCATCAGCCGCGCACAAAGTGCTGAGACCAGTGGCTCGGCGCCCGCCCCCGATTCCGCCTACGGTTCTTGCGGAGCTCAGTTGCAGCGGCCTCCTCTTTCGAGCTCCGCGCCAGCCGCAGAAGATGGTGGGTAGGCAAGTGCTCGAGCCTCCGCCTGTCTCGGCCTCGCTAAGCCTGCCCATAGGGATAGGCTGGCCCATAGCGGCTTCCATAGGGGGTCAGCGTCATGGTCAGGGAAGCCGAGAACGGCGAGAAGAGTAAATGAATAAAAGAGAGCCGTATAGCTACGGAGGCTTTAGACACGGGGCATTTCGACTAATCACTAAAAAAGACGTGAAAAGTCTTCCGCCTTACGGTACGGGGTCCACGTCCAGAGGCGCAGAGGGACTTGGTGGGCCAGAGCCCAGAGCGCAGAGCCACAGAGGTAAATGCACGCGGGCAAGATCGAAGTTAAGGTTCACAGTAGAAAGGGATTTTTTCTTTACGAAAATCCAGTAATACGCGTGTGGGATGCTGCACGACGGATTTATATGCCCGCCACGGGCTCACAGCGCCCGCGCCTTGCGCAGCATCGGCACGAGCTCGCCGCTCGCCACCAGCCCGGCGAGGCCGCCCGCGGGCCCGCCGGTTGTGTAGCCGCCCACCCACTCGCCGCCGATGAAGACGTGCGGCAACGAACCCTGCCCATACAGCTTGCGCAGCTCGACCCGCGTGGCGGAGCCCTGGGCGGCAGTGGGGGCGCACACTGGTGGGGGGCGGCGGTGGGGGGCGTACATTGGTCTCGGGGCGATATCGGGTCATCTCCGGCAATCTCGCCTTGCCGCCGAGCGCGAACCACTCCGCTCCCAACTCGACGTTCTTGAACTGGCAGCCTAATCTCGGGCAATCTCGGGTGATATCGGGGAGCGTTTTCACGCTCGGTGTCCTTGAGCTGTCAGCCTGTCGACTCGAGGATGGCGACCACCTCGGACGAGAATGGGGAGAGGCCGTAGGTGTACACCACGACGGGCGCGGACGCAACGGTGGAGGCGATCTCTGCCCGCACCTCCTCCGGGTCGTAGCTGCCGAAGTTGGTCAGCGCGGCCTGCGGAGGTGGGAGGCGAGTATTGTGCGGGTGGGTGTGGTGAATCCGTGTGCACCACTGCCCGAGCGCCGGCGAAGTGGGAGTGTGAGCAGTGTGGCGTGGAGCCGCCTGCAAGTCCGCCTCCACAGAGAAGACGGGTCCGAGCAGCGGCATCGCCTTGCCGGCCGCAGAGATGGCGGCCGTCGGCTCGCGGACCTCGATCACAGGAGGCTCGGCGCCGGCCGGGACGATCTTGCCGACAAAGTCGCTCCACGCCTCTTGCACCGAGGCGATGGCATCGTCCGGCTTCTCGAGGTTCTACGGATGACGGCATGTGCAGGGAACAGGGTGACGGCACGCAGGCGGCACCCAGCAGCGGCAGCGGCTACACAGCACTGCTACTACTAGGTGCGTACCGGAAACGCATCCTTCAGCACTGCTACTACTAGGTGCGTACCGGAAACGCATCCTTCAGAAACTTGGGCATCATGACTGGCGGGCTGGCACGAGGGGCTTGCACGACGGCTGGCGGCGTGCCGCCGACGACGAGCGCAGAGGGCTGGAGCGCGAGGGCAAAAAGCATAGCGATTCGGAAAGTGCCTCGAACGGTAAGAAGAAAAATAGCAGAAGCTCGTTTATGCGGGAACGGGAGCGGTGGGATGGCCCGCCGCTGCACAACCCCCACGGGAGGTCGCGACAGATCATTTATGCAATAAAAAAACGCAAGACGCTCGTAACCGCGCTCGCCACCGCGCTCGCCGATACGTATACTCGTACATGTCATCTCTCGCTGCGCTGGCGCTCGCCGGCGCCGGCGCCTGCGCTCGCGCCGGCGGCGGCCGCGCCCTCGGGCCGAGGCTGCATGTGCCTCAGCCTCTCGCCGCCGGCTGCGGCGTCGGCCTACCCGAGGCGCAGCGGCACTACCTCTTCTCGGTGATGCGGCTGCGCGAGGGCGGCCGCGCGCGCCTCTTCAACGCGGACGACGGCGAGTTTGAGGCCGTCGTCGACGCCATCGGCAAGCGCGAGTGCCGCGTCTCGCTGCTGTCGCGGTTGCGGCCTCCTCCGGCGCCAGAGGAAGGCGGAGGGCCGACGCTGCTGTTCGGCGTGCTCAAGGGCGCCCGACTGCCCACGCTGGTCGAGAAGGCGACCGAGCTCGGCGCCGGAGCCCTCCAGCCGGTCCTGTGCGAGAGGTGCGCCGCCCTAGAGGGAGTACTGACGAGCGCTCGAGAGGACACGTACTCAGCTGCATCCGCTCAGCGGTATTCGCTTTGTTCGCTGTATTCGTCTCCCTTGCATGCGCGCGGTGCTCCGAGTAGCTGTGTATTCACATAGGTCCGCCGCCCTGTCTCTCCACCTCAGCTTTGAGCAGCGTCTCTTCACTCCTCCAGCTGTGAACTAGGTGCGCCGCCCGCTCTCTCAACCTCGACCGCCTCTCCGCCATCGCGACAGAGGCGCGGGCGCCGCAGCGGTGGAGCGAGCTGTGCCCCCTTCCCCTCACGCCGCCTGCGTCGAGTAGGCGGCCGAGCAGAGCGGCCGGCTGAGTGTGCCGGTCCTCTCGCCGCCGCTGCGCCTCGAGGCGAGAGCATGAGAGAGAGAAAGAGAGGCAGAGAGGCAGAGGGAGAGAGGCAGAGGGAGAGGAGGCACAGAGAGAGGCAGAGAGAGAGGACTGGAGGGGGGCGTGGGTTGGCCCGAGGCTGGCCCGGTGATGCACAGGCGGCGCTCGCGGAGTGGGATGCGTCTCGACCGCTCTGGGCATGCGACGAGCGTGGCGGAGGGACGCCGCTTGCGAGGGCGGCGAGGGAGGCGGGGAGCGGCGCGCTGCGATCTGCCGGCTTGCTGGTCGGTCCGGAAGGCGCTCTCTCTCCGCTCTCGCTCTCGCTCTCGCTC